GGATTTAGGCCAACAATGACGTAAGCTACGAACATGCCAACAATTATGGCATGCACAAAAGTGATTTTAATGGCAATCCTATCGGAGCGGATTGCCAAAAAAAACGTTTTGGTAGTTTCTTTTACTAGTACTTCTTTTTGGTGATTCGTTCCGCTAGAATTGACTTAAAATCACAACAATATAACCAATCCATAATATGAACCAGAACCATGAGTTCTGTGACCGGGAATTTATTTATTTTGTGGTTCTGTAGTTTATGAAAAATGACGCAAACTGCGTCTATGCATTGGATACAAGTCACGTTCAGAGACCCACTAATAACACTCACGACAAGCAAATCGCGTTTCAATCTATGTACTACGAGATGAGAACTAATTTAGCTTTGTTACACTAGATCTGAAACAACCGATCGTCCGTAGACAAGTGTTTGTAACTCGCCAAATGACGGCAGAGGAAGGAACATTTTAAAGAAAAACGTAATACAACCGACGCACAGCAGTGACGGCATGATGTCTGAGTGCATACTTAGCAGTATCTTCGTAATAACCTTATTATTATACATCTGTTCCTCCAAATGATATATCATGGGAATGCCGAAATCCATAAATTTAGAATAGAATCAGCGAACTTCGTAGTGTGGAGTCCGGTCAAACTCTGGTGGCGGACATGTTTTTTTTATTATTATTAGAGGACGCTCACGCGCGTAATAGTTCAATATTTAGAATTCGCATTTCCTAATATAATAGGATGAAAATACACCGTAAAATACCGCATAATTACGGCATAATATAAATTGTTATTATCATTACAAAATTTACATTTGAAATATCATGAAAAAACTTTAAAAATGATATGATATACGTTATGTGTCTAAAACTAGTAGCACGAGTATACACAGTTCCGTTAATTCAACGAATTGTCATGCGCCATATAAAATGGTCCAACATGACTAGAGAAATAAACTGTGGGACGAACCCTGAGAAAGAACGTTTATTTGGACGAGTAGAATCAGCTCGTCTACTTTTTATTTACAAAGTTAGTCGAAACGGGTGATAATGAAAGTAGAGGAAGCATCACGTGTCTCAAATACGGTTAAACATTTACTGACAACAATGGTTTATGCTATAGTCATTAATATTATTCCTCTTTTACCTTTTTTTGCATTTTTTGGTAAAGATATGGAGTTGTAAAATGCTCAAATTAGGGGAAAATTTGACAAATTATATTACGGACATATTTAATTTTTTTATAAACATGCTTATGTTGTTTTTGATGATAATCTACACTTAACTTGTAATGTATCTGTAAACAAAATTGTTGTATCTTAATTATAGAACAAGAAATGTCAATGATCTATGATTTGTGATTCAAGACGAAGACACCGTGATCGCTTGATTTGGTAGACTGTGAAACACGTTCCGAATACGAAGCCCCACAGAACACGTCGTTACATACAATAAAAATTGATATTACCCAATATGGTAGTTGTTAAAAGTCAAAATCAAAGAGATTTGTCAGTGACCATGTGATGGCGCTCTTTAATAAACGAAATCACCTATTTGCAACTTCAATACTTAGTATTCAAAAACTGAACCCCCCCAAATCAAATTAAACCAGTCGTGCAGCTATGACTTTAATACACGTTAAAGCCTTAATTGTAAGCTCCATTCGCCTGTTCAAAATGGCATACGCAAAATAATTTAATACTGCAGAATCGGTAAAGTGCACTTGTCTAATCAAGTCTAAACACTTGTAACTAAAAAAACCATGCACCATTATTTCACAACTGATACACTTTGTCTATATTGCGTTTATAACTGTTGGATTGCAACATAATTATAGGTACTAAATGAAACAATTTATTTGCCTTTGAATATCGAAATAAACAAAATTAGCATAACCATGAAATTACAAAAAATACACATACTAAGTGTTAGTATTTTAGAACTACGCCAATCTTGAACCTAACAACCTCCTTACTGGTTTGACATTATAAAATACTTATTTATAAAGAACCTCGTAAACTACACTTTCTAATAAAACTTTTAATGCCATTAAGTGCTGACCATTAAACTATAGGTGGAGCGATGATAGAAAAAAAAGTCAAAACAAAGTTTTGGTTGTTTTTTCAGTGATGATTTCCCTGCATTTTTTAATTACATCTGTTTGTGATATTTTTCTCCAAGATATATGCGTGTAGATGATTTTGTTCCTTCAATTGATCTTTGTAGGATAATTTCCATAATTAGTTTGCTATTAGAGCAGTATGTAATGGTTCGCCACTCAAAGAATGATAAAATTTGGTCTACTTTACGTAATAGTCGTATCAGCTGACATTGAAGTTCTGGAAGAAATCCTTTAATGACATATAGTTACCTTGTTAAATGTTAAAATCAGTGTTCTTTCTAGAATACATCTGAATATGACTGGCTAAGTAGTTATTTGGCTTAGACCACCCAAAATTATAATGTAATCTTTACCACAAAATTTAAGCAAATTAATCATTGCAAACAATGAAATCAAATAAAAAATACTGTTACCGTGTGTAAATACGAAAACATGTCTTCTTTTTAAAACCCGAAACATATTTGCATATCTACCTAGTGCGCCAAGATCAAAAGATTCGAACAAATTCAATTCAATTTATTTAGCATGATAGAAGTTATATTTAACAAAATAAAATAAAATGTGGCATATCCAAGTATGTCATTATCTAATACGAAATCTTATTCTGGCAAATTGTTGGTTTCATGGGGGTGTTTAATGTAATATGATATTTGTTATTGTTGCATGCACATGGTTCTAATTACTTCAACAATCATGCCAGAAAAATCCTTGGCTTGTTCTTTGCTAACAACATTCGTTGCATAGACAACAGTCCACAGTAGTCGACCATGAATCGTTGCGACGTAGTTGTCGAACACGCATCCCATTTTATCCATGGAACAGGCATTATGTTTACTCATTATCTCGAATGTTCTCT